ACCCCTGAGTCTAAGATAAAGTCACAAGAATGAGGAGAACAGAAAAAAGTAGAATGAAATAAGATTGACAAACACACACACACAGAAAAACAAAAGCAGAAACCAAAGTAAAAAGCAATTAAACACACACACACACATACACACCTGTAAACCAAGACAAACTGGGCAAAAAACAAAGCAAAGCAAACAAAAAATGAATAAAAACAACAATGAAGAAAAACCGAACACTCACACACACATGCCCAACACAAAACAGAGAAAAGAGGGGGGAAAAAAGAACTTCCAATCCTCACACATACATTCACACACACATTAAGCTAAAAAAAATAGAAAAAACCCAAAGCAAACAAACAAAAATAATTGAAAGATGAACACTCAGTCATTCACATACACACATAAACAGACAACAAAAAATGTAAGAAGAAATAAAAAAAAAAGGTGAGGGACAATTCAGATTGAATCTCACATACACATTTGAGCACAAAGGAAAAAAAAAAATTAAACAAACAAAAATCCCAGAAAACAACCTGCCCTCTTGTGGCAGGTTCTGTAATTGTTCCTCTCTGCTGCTCACAGGTAAGCCCCTCGGCTATATCATGCAGAGCTGCGGCCTCATTCACAATCTTCCCGATGGTGGAAGTGGATAGGGTTTCAGTCCTCCCCTCCCATTCTCCTATGGTCGGGGGGAATCCCCTTCAGGTGGGGAGATATGGGATTGTCTCTTCCCCAGGTACTGGCGGGAGACACCCCAGCCAGGCTTATCCTGGAGTGTAGTCCTCCTATTGAGGTTTCACCTGGGTTTATCCCTCTCAGTCATGCCCCAGCTGTGTGGGTCTGATGTTCAGAGGATTGTTGGAGAGGAGGGGGTTTGGTCAGCCCTTGACTCACCACTGATCTCCTTGTCCTTTTTTGGTCAGACCCTTTGTCCCACGACTGAATCAGGGTAAGGGGTGGGGCACCTGAGACTCAGCACTCCTCCTGTACCTCTGGAGTTTGTGCTTTTGGGATATTCCCTCTGGGTCATGATCAACCCCTGAGTAGTTAACCTGCCATCACAGAGATTGGGTCTGTCGTCTGTGGTGAGCAAGCCGTAGCACTTTCCTGACCAGTTTTCCAAGATGTTGGCAGGGTGCCTCTTTTTTCTTCTTCTTCTTTTTTTTTTGAGTTGGAGTCTCACTCTGTTGCCCAGACTGGAGTGCAGTGGCTGCTCCCGGCCACCGCAGCCTCGACCTGCTGGGCTCTGGCGATCCTTCCGCCTCAGCCTTCCAAGTAGCTAGAACTACAGGCATGTGCTACCACGCCCGGCTAATTTTTGATTTATTGTAGAGTTGAGGTCTCGCCAAGTTACGCAGGCAGGTCTCGAACCTGCGGGCTCAGGCAGACTCTGCCTCTGGACTCCCTCGCTGTGCTCCCTCCGCAGTCCTTGCTGCCAGTGTACTGCCAGGCGCTGCAGTGCTGAGGCAGAGCCAGGAGCCAACAGTCACTCCCAGTAGCTTCTTCCTGGAAAGGACTTTGCTGATTTTTAAAACAATTTGATTTTTCTTTTTTAAGCCTGTTGATGTGGTAGATTATATTTATTGGTTTTTAATACTGCACCAGCTGTATATCCTTGGAATAAGTCCTACTTGGATGTGTTGTATAATTGTTTTTACACCTTGTTGGATTCAATTTGCTAATATTTTGTGGAGGATTATTACATCTATGTTCATGGGACATATTGTCTATAGTTTCCCTTTCTCATGATGTTTTTTTCTAGTTTTGGTTTTAGGGTAACTAACCTCATAGAATGAGTTGGGAAGTGCTTCCTTAGCTTCTACAATTGTCTCCCCTTTTCTGAGGGATGATACTTTTCAAGACTTCCAGCAGATACCTAAAATTGCAGTTAGTACCAGACCCAGTTACAGGTTGAGTATCCCTTATCCAAAATGCTTGGGACCAGAAGTGTTTCAGGCTTTTGATTTTTTTAGAATTTGGAATATTTATATATACATAATGGGATGGGACCCAAACCTAAACATGAAATTCATTTGTTTCATGCATGCCTTATACACATAGCCTGAAGGTAATTTTATACAATGTTTTCAATAAGTTTGTACATGAAACAAAGATTTGAGTGTGACCCATCACATGAGGTCAGGTTTGGAATTTTTCATTTGTGGTATCATTCAGCATTCAGAAATTTCACATCTTGGAGCATTTCAGATTTTTTTTTTTAAAATCAAAGTCTTACACTGTCACCTAGGGTGGAGTGCAATAGCACGCTCATGGCTACCACAGCCTTGACCTGCTGGGCTCAGACAATCCTTTCACCTCAGCCTTCCAAGTAACTGGAACTATAGGTGCTTATCACCATGCCTGGCTAATTTTTGTTTTTGTTTTTTTGTAGAGACCGAGGTTTCAGTATGTTGCCTAGGCTGGTCTAGAACTCCTGAGCTCAAGGAGTCCTTCTGCCTTGGACTCCAGAAGTGCTGGGATTACAGGTGTGAGCCACTATGCCTAATCAGAAATAAATTTATGATAGCTCTTAATAAAATGAAATAATTATAAAAATATACTTTACAGTTATTACTTTAAAAATTAGGTGACTGTGGTCTCTCTTTCAGAATAGCTTACTGTGTTCTCATCCTTCTCTTGTGATACGGTGAGATGATAAACTGCAGACTGAGGTTGACTAGGAGTAACTGAAACTGAGTAAAGTAAAACTGCAGATAAGGGGGCACTACTGTAGTTTCTGGAAGAGATTGTGGAGAATTGGTATAATTTCTTCCTTAAATGTTTGGTAGAAGCCATCTGGTCTTAGTGCTTTTTTTTTTTTTTTTGAAAGGTTATTACTTATTTATGCAATTTGTCTAATAAATATAGCCAACATAAGTTTTTTTGTTTCTCCTTGTGTGAGTTTTGGTAACTTGTGTCTTTCAAGAAATTAGTCCATTCCATCCAAGTTATCAAATTTGTGAGCATTGAGTTGTTGAAAGTATTCCTTTATTATCCTATAAATGTCATGGGATCATTTATAGGATAATAAATGATGACCTCTCTTTCACGAGTAATATTAGTTATTTGTGTCTTTCCTCTTTTTTCCTGGTTGGCCTGATTAGAGGTTTATCAAATTTTATTGATCTTTTGAAGAACCAGCTTTTGTTTTAGTTGATTTTTCTTGCATTGTTTTGCAGTTCTAACAGCCTGTTTTGGCTGTCTGATTTATCGTCAGTGATTGACTTGCTGGGTTTTCCTGTCATCCATTCTGTTTCACCTTCTGTGGTCTTCAGTCCAAGCTGAAGGGACAGATTTATGATCTGTGGTGATGCCAAACTCAATGCTGAATGGTGGAGATGTTGTAGTTGTTCGGTTTCTTCATTGCATCTCTGTTCTCTGTGTAGCACAGTTTTGCAAGCAAATCACATCATATTTTTCTTTATAGCATTCTTTACAAGATTCAGTTAGGTGACCCTTTAGTGTCACTTATTCCTGTGATCCTAACATTGATTGATCTGGAAAGGAGTATCAGGGAAGTTGGCTTCTCTTCTTCAATAGGTTTTGAATCAGAACTTTAATGAGGAATGTTAGAAATCATCTAGTCTGACCTTATCTGTGATAAGATTTAGGCCCAGAGAGATAAATTGAATTTCCAAGATCACACAACTGGCTACTGGTAGGAGAAAGCTTGTGATTCCTAGTCCTATGCTTTTTTTATTTTACTGCTTATTTGTTCTTTTTCACTTCTTATTCCTTGATACTGCATCTTTCCCAACTCTAATCTGAAAGGTCATTGTGCCTCATTTCTTTTTTCTTTTTTTAAGTCGAAGACTCACTCTGTTGCCCAGGTTGAAGTGTAGTGGCACTATCACAGCTAACCATAGCTTCAGCCTGCCAGGTGATTCTTCTGCCTCAGCCTTCTAAGTAGTTGAAACTACAAACAGTTGCACACCACCATGCCCAGCTAATTAAAAAAAAAAAAATTTATTGTAGAGTCTAGGTCTCACTATGTTGCCCAGGCTGGTCTCGAACTCCTGGACTCAGGAAATCTTCTTGTCTCAGCCTCCCTAAGTGCTGGGATTACAGGCGTGAGCCTCCATGCCCAGTTTCTTTTACAGAAATGTTGGAGTTTTTTAAGTTTCTTGGGCAAAATACTAAAAAACTCTTTTTTTGGGAATAATACAGAGTTGCTAAAAGTAACAGGTAATAAAATAATTTTAAATGATTTGATTATTTTAGTTATAGAGTCTGTAATTGAGGCAAGACACATTTAGCTATTAGAATGTGGCTTTGGAATATTATTTTGAAAAAAGATTATGTTAAACCCAGTAAGCCTTGGAGAGTCAGTAAATTTCCAACTGTTAGCATTAACCAAGATAAAATGTGATTTCCTTTTAATGACCCTGCACTTATAGTACGAGGGGGGACCCAAGAAAACTTTGAATTTATTTATAAAAAATTGTGTATTTATTCTTACATGTTTAAACTTCAGTCACCTTCACTCACCTGTTTGATGCAATACACCTATTGAGACACTTTTTCCACTGCTCATAACAGTTTTTGAACTTGTCACTTTTAATGCCTTTTAGTGCTTCTGCCATTTTTTGTTTCAGCCCATTCACATTGGCAAACATTACCCTTTGAGGGCTTTTTTTAATTAGGGAAATAAAAAAAAAGTCACTTGGGGTGAGATTGGTTGAATAGGGAAGATGGGGCATGGGAGTCATTGCCAGTTTTTGGTCAAAGACTGCTGAATACTCAGCATAATGTGGGCAGGTGCAGTCTTAAATTATCCATCATGTAATGGGCAAACGTGTTGAAAGAACCTCAAAAAAAAATTCACACTGAACATACCCACTTATAACAACACTATCTGGTACACTGATACAGACGGGCTCCTGGAACACTTATGTAGTGGGGGAAGCCTGTACTACAAGGGGCCTACACTCCAAAAGATAATTCTGATTTTTGGGGGGGTCCCCTCCCATATGTAGAATTTATTTTGGCTTGTGCTTTTGTTTTAGACAGAACCAAGTTGTATTATTAGACACACTGGAACAAGAGATTTCAAAATTTAAAGAATGTCATTCAATGTTGGATATTAATGCTTTGGTGAGTATGATTTAGTTGATGTAACTTAATGACATTGTGTTTTAGTAATAGCTAGGTTTATCTTCCCAACTACGTACTTATTTGTATTTAGGATCTTACTGTCTAATTTTTAAAGTTTAGAATTTGTCCTTTTAACAGGAAACTTTGACTTGCCTTACTACAATTTCTTTTGTCATCTCTCAAATGTTGAACTTGTAATGGGAAATTGAACTTATTTATGAATCTGGAGTAGATCTGCTCATAATTAAAGACTTAGGAAAGATAACTGGAAGTAAGGAATCTCTGGAGTACTATTTTTTCCTTTAAGGAAAGCACATCTCTTTAACTACCAATATGGTTTCTTAAATTAGCTTTTTATTTAATTATATGGCATATTTATAATACTAAAATAAATTAAAACCATGGGCTGAAGTAGACACTTTGAGAATGATCAATTATATCTTTCAACATAGACTAGTAGTTGCATTATATCTGAAGCTTTCTAGCTCTTTTTTTTTTTTTTTTTTGAGTCGGAGTCTCACTCTCATCTAGGCTGGAGTGCAGTGGCACATTCACGGCCACCCCAGTGTCGACCTGCTGGGCTCCAGTGATCCTTCTGCCTCAGCCTTCCAAGTAGTCGGAACTACAGGCCTACGCTACCACTCCTGGCTAATTTTTTTGATTTATTGTAGAGACAAGGTCTCGCCAAGTTACCCAGGCTGATCTTGAACCTGCGGGCTCAGGCAGTCCACTAGCCGCGGCCTCACAAAGTGCTGGGATTACAGGCTGAGCCACCGAGCCTGGCCAGCTCTATAGCTTTTTGATGAGTGGAACCAATATTCCTTATTTTAAAAAACAGAGAGTTAACAAAAATAAGGAACTTGTTGCTTTTCCTTTCCTCTTAAACATTAAAAGGAAATTGATTTGCAAATTTTTGTAACCATTTGTATATAACTAAAAAAATGGACTTTTCGTTGGACAAAGGTGGTTTACTAAAGTTTTCCTAATATAACAATGAAAAACAAAGTTCATATTTTCTGACATTAGACAGAAACTGGTGGTAGTAAATACAGACTCTCTGCCCAGTAGTTCTTGGTTTCTTGTGACGAAGGTAGGCAAAGCCATACGCACCTACTTTTATGTTCCCCACTGAGTTCATGTTGCAGCAGAATGATTAATTATTGAATGAATGATCCAAGCAGATATAAAGTATTGCGTAAGTCTGAAGGGGCAGAATGGAGTCTTCCTCTTTTTTCTTTTCTCAGCCGAGAGTGGTGGTTTTGATTATCATCTAAGAACTGAAAACTGGGAAGCTCAGAGAATTATAAAGAGGGTCTATAAGCTCTAGAGCTCATCAGACCATGACTTTATTTGCAGCTACATTAAGCTGGCAAATCTCTCTCCTGACACTCCTTTCACTTCTTCTCTTCCTGGTACATTGTCTGAAAACACGGTCTTTTTTTTTTTTCATGCTCTTACATCTTGTAGGCCTGTGTCATCTTCCCATCTTCTCCTGACATGAAACTTCATTTTAGGCTATGCAGGCTGGCTGAGATGTGAAGTCTGTACTATCACTCCTTGGGAAGCAATGTCATTTTGCTTAGGTCATTTTGCTTAGTTTGTCTTCAAAAACCCAAGGAGCAGGACTAAACTTGTCCATAGTCCTCTTCAGGGCTTTCTGGCTACAGCTTGGTTTTTCCTGGTGGGCAGATACTTCACCTAACCTGTCCCATGTACCCTGGCTCAGTTTCTCTCTTTTGTAAAGGCAGTAGAGAGTGTTTCACTTTTCTTCAATGAAATTGATAGCATTATTGGATAGTCTCACTGAAATTTTAGAATTATATTGCATGTTTTTAAAGCAAAATGTTGTCTGTACCCAATTTACTATATGGATATGTCTATTTTATGTTTAGTAACTCTTTCTTGTCAATCTGAACTGAACCAGATGCTTTTAAAGTCCTGTTGATGGCTTAAATGAAATTTTTATTTTGGAATTAAAATGTGGAGATAATTAAGGCTCTAAAAAATTTGGCTAATTTAAGAAGAATGAACTGTAATTTAGGCATGTATTTATTTATTTTGACATTTTAGTCTATTTTACCTTGACTTTTCATTTATTTTTCCATTTTAAGTTCACTGAGGCTAAACACTATCATGCCAAGTTAGTGAATATCAGAAAAGAGATGCTGATGCTTCATGAAAAGACATCAAAGTTAAAGGTGAGTTGAAGAATCTTTCACATTTTTGGCAAGAGTAGCGGTTTAGTTGTTTTTCTTCAGTTTTCTTTTTTGACTTTTTACACCTCCATATACAGTGGCATACTTAATTCATGGTACATTGTTTTCTTTTAAAGTATGTCCTTTTTTGAACTGCACTCTGAGCTTCTATACTAATAGCTGGGCTAACAGGCACATATTTTCTGGATATGTACTGCAGTTCTCTCAGTCAAAGGGACCTTAAATTATTCCGAATGAATTTAAAAGTTAAATATGAGATTTATGAATATGAATTGATTACCTCAAATCGAGGCACTGTTATTTTTAAATTAGGTTGTAACCTGTAACCTTTGACTGCTCTCTTGTTTTAACTTTTTTTTAACACAGAAAAGAGCACTTAAACTGCAGCAGAAGAGACAAAAAGAAGAGTTGGAAAGGGAACAACAACGAGAGAAGGAATTTGAAAGAGAAAAGCAGTTAACTGCCAGACCAGCTAAAAGAACGTAAAAAGTTGTCTTTGTGTGTTTTCTTCCCCTATCCCATGTTTGGATGAAGGTGGCTTAAGTGTAGACAGAAGTTGCGATAGTGCCTTATCCCATTGTGTTACATGTTGAAATCCTTATCCCAGGGTTGCTGTGTCTTCATATCTTCATTTCAGCTATTCAAAAAGCCTTTCTTTCTAAGTCACAGACATAATGTCACTTGGTTTTGATATTTATATGTAATTTTTTCAACTTTTGTTTAATTTTAAAATTCATTATTTTGGCCTTGAATCATTTATAAACTAGAAAATGATTGTTATGAATCTAGACTCTATGTAGTTAAAAATTAGTATTTGTTTTAGCTTATTAAAAGTTTCTTTTTCTTATTTTGTGAAATGACTTGCCTTTCTGGCAATACAGTGCTGATTTTTGGTAATTGCCTTTACATTGCTTAGTTAGGAAGAAATGTCAGTTGTTTAATCATATATGCCCCTGGAAAAGAGATGGTGTATGTCTTTGTGAAGAACATAATGGAAAAGTGCATGCACAGGAAATAATAGCACTTTAGACATAGTTTAGATGGGTAAAATGCCAGATAAATTCTACTAACCATATACTCTTAGTGTTTTTGCTGCTTTTGTAGCTTTTGGGTTTGAAGCAGATTACCACTATTCCTAAAGTTTGGTAGGGGTGGTGGAGCTGTCATACATTCAAATAAGCTTATATATTTATAATGAGTAGCAGTCACCACACATTGAGATAAGGTTTCTGTGCTTTTAAAAAATTCTTAAAGTAGAACGATATATTCCAACAACCCTCTTTATAGATCATGACAGGAATGGTGGAAAATTAGTAAAGAGCTTCACAAAAGAGGCAGCATGATACCTTCAGTGTTCTCTAGATTTTTTCCCTGATAATATACGTAGGAACTTGTTAAGTGGGGAAAATATTATGATGTTTTATTGTTTCAAATCGAGAGTATATTAGTCACTGTTTTAGCATAATATTTAACATCCAACTGGTCTCTAATCTCTATTACACAGGGACTGTACAGAGCCTGTAAAGATGTATGATTAGAATGAAAGTGAATCTTTTACAATCCACATTGTATTTTTATTAAGCTGGAATCACTACCTCTGATCAAATACCAGGCTAAGAATGGAGAAAGCATTAGTATTGAGTACTAAGAACTGGTTTGTTTAAAGGTTTAAATAGTCTGCTTTTAAAGGGCCTTTTCCTTCTTTAATGAATGAATTGTGGTCTCACAATTCTCCTGACTTTGACCTTGTATTTAAGACAAGTATATTTTATTTGAAAAGGCTAAGTTGCCCTTAAACACTTGCTGAAACTGCCTAGGCTTGAGGGACAATGTCACCTAAATTGCTGCACGTATTCATTTATAATATATCTGATGAAGGCAGTGTATTGTTTCTCAGAGTGGTTTTGGACAACTGTAATGGTTGTTCAGAACGAATGCTGGTTCCTGAACACCATGTTCAGTTTCGGTCTACTGAAGCACATTTGGTTTTGGTTTATTTGTTTTGCCTTTTTTTTTTTTTTTAAGTTTCCCCCAGTGATTTTGATGCACCTTAAAAGTTGAGAACCACAGGCTTAGTGGTCTAGGTCAGCCCTTCTTACACTAGGCTGCACAGCATTATCACCTGAGAACTTTAAAAAAATAAAGATGTTCTGAATGCTTAGTCATTTGTTAGGATGTGAAACCCATGTATTTTTTAAAGAACTCCTTACATAATTCTGATGTAAGGAACCACTGGTATAGACTATCTAGTGATTTATATTTATAAGCAGTGAAATAGTTTAAAAGCTACCCAGTAAATTGGAATTAATCTTATCGAATAAATTCTGAACTGCTGCATTTGTTGTAGTCAGATTTAAGACTGAACCCTAACAGGCAGGAAATAGATATAGAATTCTGGTTAGTTAATTGAATTGTATTAAAATAAATCATGTTTGTTGAATGAATGGCAAGGTACATATACTTTCAGATTGTATCATTTAAGTTTTGAAGACTTAAAAATGTCAAAATGAATATATATTAGCATTCACTATTTTAAGGTCAGTTATCAATCAGAAGTACTGTTATCTTAGTAATTAAAATTTACAACTTTAGCTGTGTTTCAGTAACATAGAAACATATCTTACTGACTCGATCTGAATGGAACCGTTATAATTAGTCTTGCTGTATTTTTTACAAAATAATGAATTGGTACTTGGGAGGTTCTGTTTTTTGCCTTTGTTTTGAAATTCTATCAAATGTACTGAATGAATGTGGTGGCAGTTCATTTTGTATTTTTTATGGTATTATATACAAATATACAGATGTTGAATGTAATACAGATTGTGTCTGTAGTGGGTTTCTGGGTGGATGCGGTTTATAAATATACCAACTATACATGCTGGCGCATTTGTCTTATTTTGAGCTTGTAAAATGAGGACTACTTTTTACATATTTAATAAAAAAAGTCTGAGTTATCCAATGTCATTTATTAAGCACCATCCTGTGCACAGCACTGTATTCTCCCCTTTATGTACCCTGTTTCTAACATTCTGCTCTTTTGCTCTCCTGTCATCTTCCTCTTTTTTTTTTTTTGAGTTGAAGTCTCACTCTGTCACCCAGACTGGAGTACAGTGGCCGCTCCTGGCTGCCGCAGCCTCGACTTGCTGGGCTCCAGCAATCCTTCCGCCTCAGCCTTCCAAGCAGCTGGAACTACAGATGAGTGCTACCACGCCTGGCTAATTTTTAATTTATTGTGGAGATGAGGTCTCTCCAAGTTGCCCAGGTGGGTCTCGAACCCACGGGCTCAGGCAATTCACTCACCTCAGCCTCCCAAAGCGCGGGATTACAAGCTGAGCCACTGAGCCCGGCACATCTTCCTCTTAATGTTCTCCGTCTATTGTGGCACAAAATTTTGGGTCCACATGAAATCTCCTTCAGAAAGGTGATAGTACTGAGAAAAGATTCTAGGTGAAATAATCCAGCTTCATAAAGCTTCTAAGATCTTGGGAGTCAAATGAGCTGAGAAAATGAGTAAAATGAAGGGTAGAATAATAGATGCCACATCTGTTTAGATTTAAAAAATTTTAAATTAATTAATAATTATTTTGGAATTGGAGTCTCTGTCTCCCAGGCTGGAGTGCATTGTCACAATCATGGCCACTGTAGCCTTGACGTGCTGGACTCCGGCAATCCTTCTTCCTCAGCCTCCCAAGTAGCTGTGCGCCTCTACACCCTGCTAATTGTTTGATTTATTGTAGAGACGAGGTTTCACCATGTTGTCCAGGATGGTCTCAAATTCTGGACTCAGGGGAACTTCTTGCCTCAGCCTCCCAAAGTTCTGGGATTTCAGGCATAAGCCACCACACCCAGTTTGTCTAGCTTTATACCTTTTTCATCAACTAGAGACTTCTCAGTACTCTTAAAAATAACTTCAGGGAAGAGGTGGGCAGTTTGGAAGCAGAGTCAACAGGTGAGAGCATCTCAGACTTTCTGACAACCAGATAAAGCACAGATGGGATCATACTGCCATCTTGTGGTACTCTTTGCACCGTAGTTCTTCAAATTAGTATTATTTCACTGTTCTGATAATACTAATTTGGCCCAAGCCTTTTTAACTACGGTTTTTTAGGTAAGTCAGGATTTCCTTTTTGGTCTGACCTTTTGTTTAAACAGTGAGATACCTGAAAATGATCTATCTGAAACATTTAATAGAATTTAAAACAACATTTTTCTAACTTTTTGGGTCTTCTAGTTTGAAAGTTTTTTTGATCCTCCAGTCATGGTCAGTTAATCTTATTATCTATCACCAACCATTATCTATCATCAACCATGTTCAGAATCCTCCTTTAAGAAAAACATCCCATTAACAGAAACAGGAAAGCGGATACCACATATTCTCACTTATAGTAGGAGCTAGACACTGGATACACACAGATATAAAAGAGAACAACAGACACTGGGGACTTTGAAAGGGGGCGGTAATGGGCAGGAGGCAAGGACTGAAAAACAATCTGATGGGTACCATGCTCACTGTTTGGGTGACCGTATCAATAGAATCCCAAACGTCGTCATCACACTATATACCTATGTAACTAGCCTGTGCATGTATCCCCTGAAGTTAAAACACATTCCAGTCCAAAGATTCTTCTGTGAAGAAAGGGCCTAGGAGTTCCATGTTTTTATTCATTTGACCTAAGGATCCTGGTTGGGCGCCTGGCTCAAGAGCAGCCAACCCACGGGCTAGTCAGTGATGAATTGACCTGTTAGGAGAAATTGTCTAGGCAGGAACTATAGATAATCTCACTGGCCTAGTCAGTTAACTGCCTTGGGAACATGCACTGATTACTCAGAGAAAATCAGCTGGTTAGTAATTGAAGCAGAAGTGAAAGGACACACAGATGCAGACAAAGGGCAAGTGGGGTTGAGTGGGGATCCATGAACTTACTTCTAAAAGGGGACAAAATAATCAGACCCCTCAAAATGCCTTGGATCCTGAGCAATTTTCCTGTACGAGGCTCTGTAAGACCAGGATGCTAGACTTTTTTGGGTTTCCTATGGGATTTGATTACTGGGCTAAGATTCATATTTTCCACATTTCTACTAACGTTTTCATAGTACCATCTTCCTGTCCCTTTCTCCATTTATGAGATAACCTTAACAAATCACTAGTCATTGCAAATATGAGCAACATTATCATTGTCTTTTAGATTGTCCTAGCATGTTGTATTTTTTAAGTGTTTTAATAACATTATTTAATTTAATATACTGATTCTACTCAGGAGTTTATTTCCATGTCTGCTAATCTAAGAATCCAAGGAAGATATTAATAATCAGCACCCAGATTCAATCCTGCTCACAGCCACACACCTGTTTTTATTGTTTGCTGTGTGTTTCTCTTATTTTGTCCAATTTCTTTATTAGAAATATTCTCATTTATGGCTGTATTTATTTTTCTTCTCCTCCTCCTCCTCTTCCCCCCCTTCTCTCTCTTTCTTTCTCTCTTGTTCTCTTTCTTTTTAAGTCAGGGCTTACTCTGTTGCCCAGGCTGAAGTGCAGGGGCGCGACCATTCTCAAACCTAAAATTCAGAGCTCCAGCTTTTTAAAACTATTATACGAGGAGGACCCCTTCCAAAAAACTGGAATTATTTTTTGGAGGGCTGGCCCCTTGTAGTATAGCTTTCTCCACTAGGTGAGTGTTCTAGGAACTCTTGGCATCGGTGTACCAGCTAGCGTTGTTGTGGGAGGCTGTGTTTGGCTTTAGTGAATTTTTTGAGATTCTTTTAACGCATTTGCTCGTTTCATGATGGGTGATTTACAAACACACCTGCCCACACTGCACAGAGCGTCAAGCAGTTTTTGACCTAAAATGGCATGACCCTTGCTCTGTACCCTCCCTATTCAGCTGATCTCACCCTGAATGATTTTTTCTGTTTGTTTGTTTTCCTGGGATGAAAAAACTGCTCAAAGGGAAACATTTTGCTGATATGGAAGAGGTGAAACAGAAAATGGCAGGCATCAAAACTGAGGAATTCAAAAACTGTTTTGAGCAGTGGAAAAAGCATCTCAATAGGTGTATTGCATCACATGGAGAGTACTTTGAAGGTGACTGAAGTTTAAACATGTAAGAATAAATACACAGTTTTTTATAAATAAATTCTGGGTTTTTTGGGTCCCTCCCTGTCATATGTCAGGTGCTTTACACATGTTACATTATAGCAGCAACCAAGGAGGTACTATTGTTATCACCATGTGACAGAAGAGGAAGCTGAGACACATTGAGTCTGAATAACCATCCAGGATCACAAAGATGTAAGTAGTAGGGCTGGGATTTGAGTTTTGGAAAACCTCAAAGCCACCACATCAAAGGCAGAATTTTTTTAAGTTGGAGACCCTAGGAGCAAAGATAGAAATCTACCTCAGGAGTTTTACTTTGACTCCCTTGATAAAATCATACCCATGATGGGGATTTATATGAATACACTGCTTTATCTGCTAATTCTCTTTATCCAGTCTGATGATATTGGAAGAATAGAAGTGGAGGAGGCATGCGTTTCCCTGTTGAGAGAGAGTCTAATGATGAGGATGCACAGAACTCTTTGATTTTCCAGCAAGGCTGCTTTAATTCTAGACAGACCCCAAAATGCTACATCTCCAGGGATAGAAACAACAGCAAGTCTGGAACTGGGTGAGATTTGGCTCAGGAGCCTTTCCTTGAGATCATAATGATGCTGATGGAAGGAAGATAAAACTGCTAGGAGAAACTAACACCTCTGAATGGACAGGACATTCCCATTAAGGCAGCGCTGTTTTGAGACATTTTATCAGCATCACCATCTGGAGAAAGCTATCTTTGATGTTGCTTTCCAGGGCTGGCATTTCTGGGTCTGCAGCCTACTCCTCCGCTCCACTTTTTGGTACCTTTATAGCTATGGGAAAAGAGCACAACTAGGACTAGAAGCCAGATTTTTCTCATTGAAGTAAGTTAATTTCCCTCAGGGATAAATATGCAAACAGGAGGTGATCCCTAAGACTCCTCCAGCATTAATGACCTGTAATGCCCATGCTGTCAGTGCAGGTGGTGACATCCAGGCAAGTGCACTCATTGCAGATGTGTTGTTCTGGCCTTTAACCACTTCACAGCCTGGGCCTCAGATGATGAATCCTGAGGTCTGTAAATTCACAATGGAGGAGCAGGGAAGAGATTGCCTCAGGAAAATGAAGGCAAGTACTCCTTTCCTGTTTGGATTGAAAGTGTAATAGCAAGGAGAGAAAAGGCGAGGCCTCTCTGCCATCCACCTGGGAGCCCTCTTATTCTACTGACTCACTCTCCCCTCCCCAAAGAGAGGAATCATCCTGAGCAGCAGCTTGTGCTACCTTACAAGTCAGACCTGTCCTTAAAGGTGCAGACTGGCATTTAAAACAGCTGTGTTACACCCACCCTAGTCTTTGTTCTGGGCTACTATGATGGCTGTGAGAATATGCCTCACGCACCTCTAGCCACAAGGAGCATAACTGCTCAAGGGCCCCCGTGCTGTGCTCTGAAACCTGTCACATTTGCAAGGAGACATGCTTTCTATAGGCTGCTCCTAGCAAATTGTTGAACGTGACACTCTGACGGTTGGCTTTGGCTCCAGGATGCCACACTGGTTTTGCTGAAGCTCTGCTCAGCAGTTTAAGATGCTTCACCCAAACCTCCCTTTCCTTGCTTTCTTCTTTCAGCAGATAGTACAGGTAGCAATAAAGAGGCCAAAAGAAGTGGGCATGCTGGAAGACCTATATTCTGTAACATCAAAAGACTCACCAGAGGATACGTCCGACGAGAGGGCACACAGGACACACTCTTTGCCCAGCTATCCAAATGCGCTGATGAGAAGGGCACCGACATCACTAAGAAGTTCTGCAGAACAGGAATGATGGTAGGAGTGATGCAGTCTGAGCTTGTCAGCATCCATGGGCATGATGGAGGCCAGGAGAT